TGATTCACAATTCTTTACCAAAAAAAAATTAAATTCATGTCCATGACTATGAACACCAATCTGCCTCTAATAAGTCCCAACTAAACTATAAAGATGTTAACAGTGAAACACAATTAAGGCACCAAATTTTTTTTGTACATGGCTGAAGCACTCAAAAACTTTATGCTTTCCCTATCAAATATATTTGTAGTGAAAATTCTTGTTTGTAGAAAAACCTTTGCCAGGTGTTACAAATTCATAACTGAGCTTAAACATGTATATCAATGGTCATTCAACTATGTAGTGCGTTAATCCATTAATCACTAAAGTTCAGCAACCACTGAGATACATGTTTAAGTTCAGTTATTAAGTAATAACATTTGACAAAGTTCATTAACCATTCAAGTAATTAACCTAAACTCTAAACAAATTCTCTCTATAAAAATATCCCACTCCACCATACCCACCCTCAATCTTGTAGATTTCTCTTTATACAACTTCTCCAATCAATTATATTCATGTCAATCTCTCTCTTCCTCCCTCTCTCTCTTGGATAGTTTAACATGAATCAAGGAATTTGGTTCGGTTGGGTTCTTGCTTTTGTATTCTTTGAGAATCTCTGACCTTAGGGAGTTGAATGACGAAGCTCTCGTCAACATTAGTTGGGCTTAGGTGAGGATGAAAAGGAAAAAAAAAAAAAAAATGGTGCCATCCAATGGCGATGGTGATAGGTAGCAGAATTTTTATTAAAAGGCTCATTACTTCAATTGGTCACAAACAACTTAAGAAAAATTTCCAAAAAATTGGAGTGATTTCTTGTTGCTTAAATTCAAGAATTTTTTGGGATTTACATCGACCTTCATTTCAATTTTTGTCGACATACTAGAAGATCCTGGAATTATCTAACTTTCTACTTTCCCACCGCCATAGCTAAAGAATATGGAGAAGTGAAACAGATGTTGGTTTTAGAATAAAAAGCTATTTTAGGAGAAGATTTATCTTGTGCTTGCTAAAAAGCTATTGTTTCGCCTGAGCTATGAATATGATGTTTTGTTTCAGGATATGTGGTTTTAGTGATGAGGTTGACAGAAAGAATTGGGGATTCACATTAATGGTTATTTCTTGGGAATGAGACGGAATCAATAGAATTTTAAATACAACGTCTCCCAGAGCCTCTACTTTAGAACAAAGCAGTGTTCTTGGCTTCATAATGGTGTTGCTATCTTATTTATAATATTGATCATGGCATTTACTAAATGTTAATATTGTTGGGTGATTTATTTTCTTTTGTTCGTAGTCAGATGAGATGTTTCTGCTCTCTCTCTCTCTCTCTCTCTCTCTGTGGGCTAAACCTTGGGATTTTTGGACAATTATTTACATATATTGTTGGAGAAGAACTTTTTGATTGATTAAGTTTCTTTTATCTATGTTTATGCTAACTCTTCATCTTGGTTGTAACTCTTTCTATGTTGAAAAGATATCTTTATCTTTTTGGGTCGGATAAAGAATGGTTGTGACCAAATATTTGTTAATTGTAATCAATAAAACGAATACATTATGATCAGGTTTGTGTTGCATATGACCAGGTTTTGTGTTTTATCATGTTCTGTTTAGCAATGTCTGTTTTGTGACCATATCTGTGTAACTTGTTATTATTTGTGACCATGTGCATAAGTAGTTATCGTTTGTGATAGACCCGTGTTATCTATGATTAAATCTATCTTCATTGTGACTGTTTGTGATCAGATCTTTTTTAATTATGAGTGTATGTGACCAAGTTTGTGTTAACAATAATATTGTAACCAGATATCTATTAACAGTGAATGTTTATGACGAGATATGTTTACATTTAAAATTTATGACAATTTATATGTTAACTTTGATCATTTGTGACCAGACAAGTGTTGTCTGTGATCGTCTGTGACTAAATTTGTCTTCATTATAACTATGTGTGATCAAATCAGTCTCAACTATAATTGTACGTAACTAAGTCCGTGTTAACAGTAGCATGTATAATCAGACATATGTTAACCACGAATATTTACGACAAAACCTATTTACATTTAAAAGTTTGTAAACATTTATATGTTATATGGGATTCTCTGTGACCAACTCTATGTATGTTAATAGTGACATGTTGTGTGATTATGGCCTATCATCACATATATATTATCATAAATATTTTTGGCAAAAAAATTATATAAATTAAATAACGTACTCATGCAAAAACTTCTAAGAAATTCATTATTAGTTATGACTTATAAGTTACAACTTGTTTCTCGATCACAAAATATCATATTAGTAGGTCATATATTATTTCTCGATCACAAATCATAAATTTCATAAATCACAAGTTATCAAGTAATAGGTCACATATTATTCCCCGATTACAAACCACAAATTTTATACATTATAATTTATTTATTAATATCAAATTATCAAATTATTGGATCACGTATTATTTGTTCAACAACCTTCAGCTTGTTTTGTATCATTTTCTCCATCTACACACGAGTTGAATATTTTACATTTTGAGCATCATGTTCTATTTCTAACTCCTCCAAACTACGTATATTGAAATAAGATGTGCCAATGTCTTGAAGATGACCATCTTCCAACCCATGAATTTGACGTCCGAGCTTCGCACCCAGAACAAACATCATGATATTAAATCCAACCACGGGATCATCTACAGGTATCTCCTACAAAGAGGTATCATAGGAGAGTTGCTATTTATTTGCCTTCTCTATAAAATATTTATACTGTTTGACAAGTATCTCATATTGCAAATACAGCCCAGAAAAAATATAAAATAGCCCATAAAATCAAAATTTGCATAGATATAATACAATTGTACATAAAAGATATAGCACAACATAAGAGATATAATCTGCCCCCATTGAGCATGAAAATGTCCGTTTCCAAAATAGCCACACGGAAAGCATCCAGAAATTGTCATACTATTTAGCCTATATGTTTAGTACCCTTTTTTTTTTTTTTTGTTTAAATAAAATTCATTACCGACCACATTCTCCCATAAAATAATACTACATATAAATCAAAATTATTCCTTATCTTTTAACCACACATTATCCAAACAATAAAAAAAAAAAAAATCACTCTTCCCAACTCATTTTCTCCCAAATTTTGATTAAAATTGAGCCCAAACAAGGGTTTAATCTTATGATAATTTTTGCATCTTTTTAATCTAACTTCGCAATATATTTTTTTGTGTCTAAATGAGTAGATAAAGCATGTTAAAGAAAAAGGAAATTTATAGTGTCTAGTCTTCCTTACTTGTTAAACCTTAACTGCATTATAAGTCCAACACTTATTCTTCCCTACATAAGCGAACTCAAAGGTGTCGACTTCGGAAAACTTTGAAATATCCTAATAGTAAAAAGTATTTTTCGTATTCAAACTATTAGCAAAATTTCCAATACACTTCATAGACATTTTCTTAACTAATTTCGCAATGGATAGTAATGATGGCCTCGTGATAACTAATCATTTAGATGCCACTAAATTGTTCAAATGGCCTTGCTAGGACCCTTTTTAACGGGACCAAAATCTATATATATAAACACACACACACAAAAGTATTATTTAGTATCTTTGGATCACTCTTAATAAGTTTAACTTCTTAAAATGGAATTCCAAGTCTTAACATGGTATCATAATCTATTAAATTTCAACGAATGATTCGATTCTATTAAAACTCAATAGATAAGCATACGAATTTCAAGATTGATCTGTTCAAACGAACTATCATCTTGTATGAGTATGTTAAGGAATGATATCCCACATCGAATAAAGATGAAAACATAGATCAATTTATAAGGGTTTGTACTACTTTTCTTAATAAGGTTGATATTTTAAGATGAAATCTCAAATCTTAATATGTGCAATCTATGGTCATGAAGCACCTTATTTAAATTTAATTGTAAAGTCCTTAAATACCTTATAATATCCGTCAAATAAAAATAATTAGTTAATAAAAGCAAGTAGTGTCTAGATAAAATAAGTCCAAGTTTGAATTGTAGACAATTTTAGAAGTATCATATCTAGTTTATAAATTGCAAACAACGAAACAATGTAAAAAATGACGAATTTTTTTTTTAACCTTTTTTTATGATTTTTCTTTTAAATAATGTTACTTGGACATAATGGAGTTACAAAATAATTTACATACATATGAGATGTCAAAAAGAGAGTGAAGGTTTTTTTTTTATTATTATTTTTCTTTTATGGTTGGAGAAATTTTGACTCAATCATATTTCATCACATCATGTGTATGTAAACAATTATATACATATAGTACAACCGTTTTTACTTAATCTTATCACAGTAGATAAATCGAACATGCCAATACCTTAAAGTTAGATGTTCGGGTTTGTGTGGCTTTCAAGAGATTGGCATTAGAATTGTGAAAAAAAGGAATCTTGAAATAGACAGAGACTAAGAGTAAAATAGATTACTATGAGTTGGGCTACAAATAGTGGGTGGCGTGAGATGGGGTCGCGTACAGCCTAAAAGATAATCAAAATCAATATTAGTCATCAGCGTTCCATTATTGAAGGCAGATAAAGGATATCAATTATCTTGGCTTTTAATTGTCATCTAAACAGAGCAGTGCCATTAAATAAAGCTATATATATATATATATATATAAAGCACCGCAACCTTGGGTAAATTGTGCTTAAATGCATATTTATATTGGCCAAAGAAATATAAAGCACGAACATACTGTCGGGCCACCCCACATTTGGCTAGGACAGTTCAGCTCAAATCTTCCTTTTGACTATTAGGTATAAATAAAATAAAATAAGGTCATTTATTTATTTTTATTCTTTTTTTAAAAATAAGAGTGATTTTCATGACATGCCACTTATTTCTATCTTAAAATTGAGTTGGTTGGATGACTCAAGACTAAAATAATCAAACAAGTCAATAAAAATATTTAGTTTTGGTCTACATTTCAAAATGAGTCGTACAATTTAAACAAACGATTTGAAGATTTTACATATTTCCAGAACCTAACCAAAGCCGTTCACTATATAAACCTATGCCTATCCACACAAACACAATAGTACTCAATACTTCAAAATCTAATCAATCAAACTTTCTAAAAATGTCTTCTAATTCTCAGCCTTCTTTTCCAATACACTTGTCTTTCCTTCTTCTGGTTCTGTTCATGTTTATAGGGTTCACTGAGTCTTTATTCGAGGGTTTGTTTGATCAGATAAAACTGTTTCTTATGCTGTCTCCATTGCTGGTTCTACTGGTTTTGCATTTGCTTTCTTCCTTACAAGGGTCGTTTTCATTCACCCCTTTCCCGGAGCAATACGCGATTCACCAGGCCGGTGGAACCCCGTGGGGAGTTGGGTTTCTGCTTGTGCTTCTGCTTTTTATGATCTCTTATCAGTCGGATTTCCGAGAACGCTGGTTTTCTTTATTGGGTTGATGAATATGTGCGGATTTTGGCTTTGATGGGTGCCCTTTGATGAGATGTGAAGTTGGATAAAAATTCTGTGTAAAGAGACTTTGATACACATATCTGGTACACGGTACTTGTAAATAAGACCATATATTGTCTCTGTGAAATATATGTTTATCATAGTGTATTTTTCTCTTCCAAATATGAAGACCTTGGTTGTATTATTAAAGTATAACATGTCCATCGCCCGTAATTAAGACTTTTTCATCATGGATTAACAAGAAGTTTATGATTATTTATTTATTTATTTTTTTTATTTTGTTTTGAATATGAGATAATTTCTTTCGTCTTCTCTTCCATTTTCCATTTTCTTCTGTCTGTTTCTTTTGGCTTTTGCTTTGTTTGCTTTCGTTAGGGAATGTGATAATAATTATATTAATAACACATCCAAATTCAGTTCCCTGATTTCTTGATTCATTAACTTTATGTTTAGAAAAAGATTAACGTGATTCGACAATAATGTCATTTCTTTGGTAAAAATTGCAATTTATTACTTTCTCCACTAAGGTTTTTCATTTCCATTCAATACAAAGTTCAAGAAGGAAACCATAATGTGGATACTTTGATGAATGACCCATCGCCTATTAGTATCATGTAATAAGTATTCATTTTTATTTATTTATTTTTATTTTTATTTTTTTAATTTTTTTTAAACTTATGAGTAAGGAAATGTTTCCATGTATGAAAATATTACTTAATGAGTAATAAAGAACAGATTTAGACCTTTCATCGCGTATTTGCTCGCAATGAAAATTGAATTGACAAAGTATTTGTCGAGTTATTTCTACTTGTCGAAAGCTCAAGTTTTAACTTCTGAAATATCTAATATTCTTTCATTTATTCAGTAGTATAATCTTAAACCATATGTTATCAATTTTGCTTTTTGCAGTCGTGTTACAATATCAATTGTCACGCCTTTACTTAAGGTTTGTTAGTATTAAAATTACCTGACTCGTAAAGCAAATATCACACTAATTTTGTAAGACCCGTAAATTCATTTTCGATAACGATTAATCCTTTTTAAACGCAACATAGAAGTCCTAATAAAGGTTAATTAATATTTTCGTCAATTTTCTTGACACTAATATATTATGGCCTCTCACATTGGACCTGATGGTGCACGTAGCCATGTGGTTATGCTGAGGCAGGGGCGCCTACCCTTCTCAAGTGTTCCCATGCATACATATTTAAAAAAAAAAAAAATTGATTATTTCTAGCATTAATGCTATAACATTAATTTATGTGCACTATGCGATGAACTTAATTAAAAGTAGAATTATACTCTTTCCATCCCATAAAGATATTTTTGTTTTACTTTTTCGGCAATCCTAAATTATAGGCCAATTTCCTTATTGAGAGTATAATTTATGTTTTAATTTTCTAATATGTCCCTATTTAATATATCTTGTTTATCAATAAATATAAACTAATATTATTTAAATCATTATTTAATGTAGGAGTTACTAAAACAAGTAAGAAAATATTATATTTTTAAATGTATTACTTACATTTTCTTAATCCACATGAAAACGGAAACAAGTCTATCGTTATGAAACGGAGGGAGTACGACTCATTTAATTGTTCTTCTGATTTAATGACATTTAATGTCATCTAGACTGGTATTAAAGTTTTTTTTAAGAGATTCTTTATATAAATAATACTTTTTTATTTTAAAAAGTTAATGCTTAAAAATAAGTTTTAAATGACTCTCTATTTTAACTTTTTAAAATAAAGAATGAGTTTAACTTTTCAAATTTAGAGAGTCAAACTCTTCGTCTTAATAAACAATGATTACATTTAATAAGTAATACATTTCAATATTATACATAAACTATTTAAACCATATTTAAATTTATTGGTCATTGACATATAAAAAATTATGTTAAATAAAATATAAAGAGAAATCAATAAATATCTCTTGAGAAAAGTAAAATGAAAAGCCCAAATAGTGTATTTATGGGGTACATAAAAATTATGACGCTTTAAATTTAAAGATGCTCTTATAACATTATTCTAATTAACATTACTCATTAGAAAATTTAGTCCATGGCAATCAGTGAACTATATATCAATGAATTAAGGGCCGTTTGGCATGAGTTAAAAATTAATGTCCAAACAAAAATTAAGATAGTTTTCTCAAAAAATTTATTTTACAAGAAACAAAAATAAAAGCAAAAGTCATGTCAAACAGCTCTCAATATGATTTCATGGTCCAATAGTATAAAATCTAAAGTTTTCTTGAGATAGAACAAATTTTCTGAAAGAGTTGTTTAGCATTGAAAATTTGAAATTTGATACGATCTTGATCTTTAATATCTGGTTCGTTGTAAAAAAAATTATCAATTTAGTTTCCCAGAAAATGGAATTCTATTGATTGTTTCATCCAAATTCCTATTTTTATATTGCTTGATTGATATTTTTCAATGAAAAATATTTTCATACTTTTGGTCATGTAATCATATTTTCCTTGAAAACAATGAATATATTTTCTTTAGGAGAAGTATGTTTTATTTTTTGAGTAAATCACTCTCCCCCCCCCCCCCCCCCCCCCCCCCCTCTCCCTCCCATATACTTACAACAAAATGGTCAACCATAACAATTTTCAGGTTAAAAATAAAATCAATCAAATACATTTAATTGACAATTTTCAAGGAAATAGTTTCTATACAATTCAATTGCCTAGAATTTATTTTCTTTTCTTAAAAATTTTATGCTCGCAATCAAATACACCATTGAATCTTCTACCCCCACTCCACTAATATGAACGACCTAACTATTTTAATGGGGTTAAACTTCATAAAAACGTCTATTTAAATAGATAGATTATGTGGTAATTGGATTAGCTACTAATTAGTTACGATGGCCTTGTGATAACTAATCATATATATCACTGAAAATTGTTCAAGTGGCCTTTGTAGGACTCGTGAGTCCATGTGGGGCAACATTTTTCCTATTTAACGAGGGACTCTAGTTCATAGGTATATATAAAAGAAAAGTTATTAGTTGTCTCATAATATAATATATGCATAATCTAGATTGTTAAATGGATCGAATGGAATCGAATCGAATTGAACTGTTCGACTCTCCTACGAATTGTTTGACTCCCCTATCGACGGGTTTGGGTCGCATGTGTGAGAGGAGCCGAGTAAGGTGGGGTTCAACTTGCCCTTTGATGGAGCAAGCCAAACTAGCTAGTGAGCCAGTCCTTACTATTTTTTTATTATTTGAGTTGAAAATTGAATTATTATTCTCCAAAGTACAATAATTATCTAATGATAAGAAATAGATAAAAATAAATAATAGAATAAGAAAAAAAATTGTTCGTTATATTTTTAAAAGTTGGGGACTAAAATGGAATTGGATTTTAATTTCTATTTTAGTTAGGTTAAATAATTAGATAATGATGGAACACGATTTAGTATATCAATATTGAGCTCTTATTGAAGCTTGTAATTAATTAGAAGTCTTAGACTTGAGAAAAAGTTAATTCGAATAAGTTATACTTAAGTTATTGAAGTTTAAAAGAAATTGTCACTTATTAGTATTTTATTTGAATTGGAATTTTGTAAGAGTGCCACCATGGGTGGATATGTACGAATGCCACCTATCTCATGTTAGTTAGTCATAAATCTACTTTTGTTTGTGGTGGTTATTAATTATCTTCCACTTCAAATACCACTGGTTGTTTCCTCCTTAATATACTTACTATTGTGTCTCCTAGACTCCATCTCACTTGAATAAAGTTTTTTCTAAAAATAGGTGAGACATAATTGCATGTCATGTTAACATATACCTATTCCAAGAAAAGTCTATTCATAATTAACTTCCTTACCATTTTTTTTACAACTTTGGACTTCTAATCAGATAAAAATTCCTAGAAGTATTGGTTAGAGTATTGTATTGTGTATATATATAGGCATGTCTAGCCAATCTTATTTACGCAAAAAGAAAAAAAAATAAATAAAGAGAGAGTTGAGGTAGAGAGAAAGATAATGGGTTTCCAGCGTATTATTTTACATTCATTCGAAACCTTTCAATAAACGAGGTAAAATATTTTATGTGCAAGTGTTTTCGTTTCCTTATACTTCTATATTTAATTAAATATGCACGGATTGCCAGATGACCTTCGAATTCTATAAAAAGAGAGATGAAATCCTACGAGATGATAAGAAGATCTAAGATGAGTGTGTCGCTTGGTCACCAATATACTCTATAAGAACAAAGTGATATGAAGTATAAATTTTATTTGTTATATATTTTTTTATGAAACTACACGTAACTTATTGGGTATTTTCGAATACTCACTCTTACAATTTTTTCAAGTTATTTCGAGTCGATTGAAATTGTGATGGGATGGTGATGTGGATTGCCAAGTGAATCGAAGAAAGGCAAGAGATATTAAACATTTAGTTTATCTCTTCATGTCTATAAATTTAATTGTTAGTTTTATTTGTTCAATTACTCATTTGTTTATTTAGTTCATTGATTGTGTTCAAATTTTTAGAAACTCAGATATCGCGTTTAAATTGATATTTATGATTGAAAATAAAGAATTTCTTTGATTTGTATCGTTCCGCATTTATTAAAAAGAAAATTGAATTTTTCATAACACTCCAATTTTTACAAAAAAAAAAAATAATAATAATAAATAAATCGGTGCGTTACAATCATAACACAACTATAATTTTCATGGATCTTTTAAATTTTGACAACAAGCTAAATAAATCATCTTCGTTCCGTGAAAATGAAGATGAGCTAGTCACTACGTAAATAACCTATGTTAGTTTAAAAAAAATCATTATCTCATGGTTCGATTTGATTCTCTTGAAACTAGAATCGAATGGAATTATGTCCATCTTAGAACTATTCCGATCTAATTCAATGAATGGAATATGTAACCAACGAGATGGAAAAGAAGAGTGTTTGTGTAACTTTCCAGAGACGTGAACGGTGGCGAATTCAGGATTGGAAGTTAGCTAGGACGGCAGTAATAGCGAGGTCGTATATTAATATTTAATAAAATAATATTAAAAATTCTTTAATCTTTATGTAAATAAACTAAAATGTAAAAATTTCCAATTTTCATAAATCATAAACTTCAGCAATCAATAGCAAAACCCTCAGAAAAATTTTCGTGTACGTTATGGACACCAT